TCTTATCACACAGCAAAGAAAGAGTCAGCAATTGCAACACGAAGGTAGAACTCCAATACATACTCCACGGCTATACAACTAATCTTTTTGGTGATACCAACCAGATGTTCGCAAGGAAGACTGCTTCTGTGCGAATAGGCTTTACTTGGATTGCAGAACAAGTATGAAATATAGAACCAAATTCATGTTAAGTACACTTCAGATGGAAAAGTGTGGCTGAGTAGCTCATACCAGTATTGCGCGAGTAGCATTCATCGTGGAGATTGTCCTTTGAGGCATCCTTATGCTGTCTTGTTCAACACGCACTACAATTGTCTCCGAGCAGCAGCGAAGACCGAAGCGATGTTCATACGAGAAACGCAGTCATGCCTTTTCTCCGGAGTAGATGTGCTACACCGATAAACGTAGGGTAATTCCAGAGAATTTAGGAAAGCAGTGTGCAATGTTGTCGTAAGGAACGAGAACTGTGAAGAGGAAGGATAACTATGAGGACATAGGAGACATCAAAATTAACAGATTTTCATGAATCATACATGACTGAGTTGAAAATAAATCTTTATCAAAACATACTTTACATTTCAAACTTTCAGTGAGATATACATTTTACAGGGAAATATCACTATTCACTTTCAGAAACCAAAATAAGTGATGCATTCTGTTTATCTTGAAAAATGTAAAGCTGATTTGTTTGTGAACTTTGGGGACCCTTTGGACAAGTGTGATGCGATCCGTTCCTAGGTGTGATATATTTATTCTTGCCACTTCGGCGAGCACTCCCGTAATGAAGACATCTTCGAGCTGAAAAAAAGCCTTAAAAGCTGAGATGAAAGGCTCTCATGTTTAGTCAGTTGCGTTTCGGCTTTTCGGTTATCATGGCCTAGCGCTATCGCATGCAGTTATGAAAACTTAGTCACCAAAAACTTGAAATTTCTCGGAGTATTCTTGTCACATTTTGATTTGCTACAGACGAGGAAAGGTCAACAAGGTCACCGTGGTCATTCAAGAACAGATGTGTTTCGAGGTAGGCGTCTTAGAAACGCTGAGTTCAAATAAGCATTCGCAATTTACAGAACGATTCCCTTAATCAGTATCCGCCTGCGACATATCTGGCATGTTTTGCATGCTTCTCTATTATGTGGGTCTGTGAAAATATCCAGCTGGAACCAAGATTGGTAACCGCTTTCACTCGGCTGTGTATCGGCGTTGTCGTCTTCTTGAGAACCTGGAAAGTCGAAATATTTTTAGGGAACCCTTCGTGCAAACCAACGGAATGATTGAAGTGGGACGTAAACTAGGAGCCCTGAGCTAAACTTTAGCAAAGTCAACATTCTGTGATCTCGAGTTGGTAGTAATGTGGTTCAAATGAAGGGAATCTATGGACCACTTGCTCGAAGTCAGTGGGCATGATACTTTGGTACTCCACAAAAAGCGGGAGCAGAGGCGCTGGAAGTACGAGATGAAAGCAAAAACGGGATGAAATGTCTGAAATAGGGTCCCTTACTGAATGTTCCAATCAGGAATTGTATGAGCCGCCTGATATGAATTATCGCTTTTCAAAGAGCAATGCGAAAAATTCACGGGATCTGGAACTATATGAACTATGGGAGACGAGAGACAAGCAATAGAAAAAAATTATTTCAAGCAGTAGGAAGCTTCACAAAAATATCAACAGGGTCTGTATCGGAAGCATAGGTACACTAATGACATTTCTACGAAGAGTTGTGGGAATCAACTGAAAAAGAAAAGCCGAAGAAATAAAAAAAGTCTGAAACTACGAAACGAACCACATACTTTCAAGAAAACCTTGTACTTTGCCAAGGAAAGATGTTCTCTTTACAAATAGGAACTAAGGATCCTCGTTACCAATGAGGACTAAGACTCTTCAAAAAACACCCTGGAAGGGAAAAAGGCCATTCAACGCGGTTGAAAGTGAATACGTCTGGTCCGAACGTAATCAATTGCTGACTGGTGCAGCCATTTGTGGGCATACAGCTGTCGGTGGGTGTACAGGTGGGAGAGCTGAGCCTTGCTTGAATGCTTAGAGACCTCTATTCGTTGGAGGGGGCGGCATTCGTTGGTGATCGGCGTTATCATCTAACATTCCTAGGAGATGGAAAGGAGAGAGATTTATCGTGCCTTCAGCCTTCGAGGGGTCCACGGAGGGTCGACCACGTAGAACAAGCAACTCGAAAGGCCCATACGCGAAGGATGCCAGCTTCATAGTGACTGTCACCCTCTTCTTTACTGCTGATCTCAAGGGTTTCGCACGCAATCCAAATGGCTCTAACGTTCGAGGCGCCACAGTAGAATACCCGCTTCACGTGGTGATATCATGAACACCTCAAAACACGTGTTTCCATAGTACTGAACCTACTCAAGCAATAGCCTCCCGTTTCCATAACTTACCCTTCTTTGCACTGCTGGCGTGAAACTAAATGCACTGGTCCCGATGTGTACTCCCCTTGCTTCTGCAATGAACCCATGACATAGGAAGGGGTGGTATCTACTAGCATCATCATATTTTGGAGACCAGGCTTTCTTACACAAGCGCTAATAGCCGCATTGAATTCCTTTAACATAAAAGGGACAGAAAATGGAACCTTTATTAGTTTGTCTTGCTTATGATTCGTGTGGCCTCTCTTCGGTAGCATCCAACTGGACTGGGGTCGTATGCTATACTTCCGCTTCAGAGGAAGATATCCCCCAGTAAACCTCCGCTCTCTGCCGTTAGCTCTATCAATGCCCTTAGTGAAGCGGCGTGTTCGTGGTAGACTGCTCGCTAACACAATTTATTTCAAAGTGTTTATTACACAACAAAGCGTATACGGTGTTACAACAACTGAGTACCTACGGCTACCTAACTGTCTAAGGGAACGTGTTGTGTATTGGGTGTGTTAATGAAACAACAGTGTTAGTGTCGTGTGTATCGATTAAGTGGCGAGTCCGCTGGAGTGCCTGTCCCTTGCCATGCGTGTTGAGTTCTTGGGCTAGATGCGCAGTGGCGTCCCTTAGGTTATTTGCGTCACACGTCTTGGGTTATTTGAGGGACGACCGGAGTCGCTTGTTGGAGAGGCGACCAGTTGGGTTGAGCGAACCGAGCGAAGACTGCCTCGAACTGCCGGAGCGCGGTATTTGTACCCCAAAAAGTGGGCGGCACAGGAAGCTTCGCCTGGATGCCGCTCGTTATGGGGCTACGAGGCTCCACCGCTCGAATCTTGTATTGATTGCTTTTGTGAATTAACGTTTCAGCAATCTGTTGAAGAAGTAATAATACCGACCACCCCCCCCCCCCCACTCCTCAAAGGAGGGTCTTGGTACGATTTCCTTCCAACACCACGGTTTCCTGTTTTTCACCCGAACATTTTCTGTCGAGGGGGGATATCGTACACATGAGATAAAAACGTCATGTTGACAACTCGAACACGAATGAGATACCTGTATGGCAGAAATATGCCTGTGAAATTTTCTGCTTTACTTCGTCGTTAACGGGGGGTTGCTGGCTCTAGGTAAATTTGTTTTGGGTGGACTTATCTCGAAAAAAACGAATCCCCTTCCGACGCCTTTGCGATGAAGTCGCAAATTATGTTTAAAAAGAAAGAAATTTAGCCGGTTTTGCAACACTCTCTCACAAAACGCAGTCGCAGAACTCTAGAATTACCTCGACAGCCAAAAAGAGGAGGCGTATGGAAAGGCGTTGGGCAGTTAGGCGACGTGGGGCACTCAGCACTTTCGCTACTTCCTATCGACATGTCGACCCGTCTAGATAGGTTTTTCTTGAGTTGACAGGTTTTATCGTGGTGGCTCCGCGAGCTTGCTCCAGCTTCACAAGAGTTCACAGGTTTCACCAGAGTGAGACTTGTGAACCGGAACTAGTGAAGCAGCGAAAGTGCAAAATGCCCCCTCCCCCGTCGCCGAATTGAGCCGAGGCGTCGTAGCGACCAGAGACTTTTCTCGTGACGGTATGGTTGCCCCTGCTCCCGGCTGCATCCCAGCCGTGGCTCTCTTTAGAGCCGTGGACTCTTGAGGAAGCTGGTCAGCAATTAACTATCCTCTTTCGACATTGAGTTCCTTGTGGTGTATGTGATGCTGTTTGCTAGAGGGATACACTCTGTAGATATGAAGACGGGCACACCGCTTTAACATCGCCCACGAAATAGGGTACAGACTTCATTCCCATCAGTTGCATGAATACTTCCTACAGCGTACACAGTTCTGGTGCAAATTAGGTTGTGCATAAGTTCTTTCCCCGACTTTTTTGTAAATATCTCAATAGCGAACCAGCCTGAAGATTAGAGGTATGCACCATCACCATCCACTACTCGACGCCAACGCTCAGGCAGCTTGTCGATTCCATCCTCTCCAGAAGGGCGGGGCTGGGACCCGAAGAAGGCCACACGCACAATCACCACTGTGACATGGTTTTGCACTGGTAATTGTGCGGCATTATAGCCTGCAAATGCAGGGTGGGCGAGTGATAGCTAGTGTGATGAAAGAGTATCATGTACACGTCACGCACACGTGATGACGAAATACCAACATCCATGCAAACGAAATACGGAAGGATCAAAACAGGGGAAAAAAACTTATGCACCAAACTAATATTAAGGGGCCTATTTCATAATGTTGTCTCATTATGTTGGTAAAGTACGAGTTTTGCACATTTAACAGCATCATGTTCACATAAAAGCAAAATGCGATCGAACATGCGAACATGTTCGGTCGCCTTTTGTTTTGTGAACGACTTCTACGGAAATAAATAAAAAAATACCTTGAGGAATTTCTGGGAGGGAACCACTGATAGGATTTTTTCTGCCACTTGACGTGGAACCACGTAAGCCATTCCTCGACAAAACACCGGTAATTCACTTCTACTCCATTCTTCTTCTGTAAGTCTCCTGCCAATATGTACATTTTCAACGACGTTTCAACAAGACCTTTATTGTGATCATAGCTATTTAGTGCCTGACGTGTAGAACATGTGCCCGTAATAGGCGAAAAGCTGGAAGTCGCGACGTAAACATTTGCTCAACACTTTACGGGCGTCGAGCCCAATTTGCCTCTGTGCACTAGTCTACTGAGTTTAAAGGCAGCGCCCACGTTCACTTGATGTTCCTACGCCCTTTCTGGATATCATAGCCCTCCCCATAAGGATGCAGTATGTACTAGTTTTGCATCTCACAAAGGCGAGAGGATAGCGCCTATCGCTAGTAAAGAGTCGACCGCCCCGCCCACCTGGCGACCACGACGCCCAACTTCATTTCTAATGGTTGCCTGATGGTGCGGTTGTTCCATTGCTGCTCTCCACGTCGTGTGGTGAGAGTGAGGTGATAAGGGGAAACAGCTGAAATCAACAAGTGAGAACTCGTGCAACCACTCCTTCTCTTCGCCTTAAGCACGTACAACCGCTATTCGGTATGAAACTCCTTATAGGGCATTTTGCATGTTTTCTTTTTTGATTTTCCTTCACTAATAGGTTTCTCTACCTTGCTATTACAACCTGAGCCGCATACTCATCAAATTTGAACGCGGGCGCTGCCTTTAAGGGAGATTATACTTTATGACGTACACTCCTCATCATTACGGACTGTCGGTATCAGCGCCAGAAGGAGTGCGCACACTGTTTGAAGCCGTTCTCAGCCTTTTCTTTGAAGCGCGTATGCGACAAAAAGTGGTAGAAAACGAGTAATACGAAGGATATAATGCTGTTATGTCATTTCGTTCAACAACTGGTGCAGAAAGACTTGGGAAACCGGCGGAAAACGCATCCGCACTGACCCCGCCCCGACAGTCCGTAATGATGAGGAGTATATGTAGCCTGACAAAGTTGCTAGTGCTTCCTCGTTCGTGGTAAGGAATGAGGAGGGTTTTTTGTATTAAAAATGGTCATTTTTTTTTCTGTGGCACTCGGGTAATGACACGTGTAGTTTTCCCATTGTATCTGTGCTCTCATTGGGAATGTGTTCTGTCTAAAGTGGTATATTGTGACATGCAACATTGTTTTCGTGAGCGCGGCACTTTTCCGGTTCTTAATCAGTCGGCAAACACCCGACGCAAATTCGGGTTCCGCGATTCATCCCTGCTGCTGCTTGCGATGCAAAATCGTGGATGAGATTCTCGCTGTACCCGGCATTGGAGCTGCTCCGAGTATCTGAGCAGTCGCTTGCGAGAGCCCACGAGCAGGTGCTAGGGCAACGCGGGAGAGTAATTCAAGCTGATGGCTTTAATAGTTAAAGGCACATTCCGCGATAAAATAAGGCTATGACCTCTCAAATGTGTCGGACGATCCGGAAGGCGATTTTTGAGGCTGCGCTACTTTCAAAATGTGAAAAACGGCAAGAACTCCGCTAGAAGCTGACTAATTAGGCCCATGGACACCCCTTAGGCCCATGCCGACCCTCACCGGCTGCTAGCTACTAGCTAGTAGCCACTATGTTATCTTTCTCTATAACATTTCGGACTGCTTTTTCTGCTGCTTTTCTCCGCTAATCAGATACTTAGCACTTTTTTGTGCCTATTTGAGTTCCGTTTCCCGCAATTTGCGGTCGCGGAACTGTGCCTTTAAGAGAAACGATAGTTGTTTGATAACAGAGTCTGAAAGCAACACACCATTGCGGATATTTCTGAGATCGCTCTGGTTTATTGGTGGCATCCCTGAAATTGTTTGTGAGAAGTTTTTTCCTACTCTACTGAGACACTCACCGTAGCCCATATATCTTATCATGATCGAGGGGACCCATAACGAAATCTTTGATCTGTTTAATATTCCATCCAATATCATCATCAACTTTCACAATAGCCTTTGTTTGACGACACGATGAAACTACAAATCGAAGTGCACTTAACACCTGTAAAACTACGACTAAAAAATTCTGACAACTATACGGCGTTAGCAGTATACATATTGATTTGACGGGGAAGTTCTGATGTGCTTCTTGAGAAAAATCTTTTTTGTAGAGAATTTTCGTGATCAAGTATATCCACCACTGTTATATATCCACCAGTATATCCGCCACTTTCGTTGCCAAAGTTTAGGCGCTTCATGAATGCAAAATGTAGGGTGGCGCAAAGCGAACTCGGGTGCCAGCTCGATTTTGACATGGGCTCGGGTCGTAAGTCGTATTGAGTCCAGAAAATAATCCAGCAGTCGGAAGGAGCAGTTTCAGGGTACTAGAGGCGCTTAAGAGAGCCGTGCAACTGTACTGCATGAGGATTCGGTTGAAAGCAGACAGCGCGGACAAATTTCGCCCTCTCATCGACGTTTTGCTTCATTTTGTGTAATTACTGTTAGCGAAATTTTTATACGCAGCTTCACGAGCCGCATCTCCCTGAACTTGTGTTTAGATAGACATCCAAACCTCACTTCGTCTTCAAGACTGCACCCTCCGCTTTGAAGCAGTGGCGTCCGTGGATGGCTGTCAAGCAACTGAGGGCATCGTCCTTATGCAGCTCCTCAATTGGCTTTGGGAGCTCTAGCGGGAACGTTAGAAGAAAAAGGAAGTCGATGGGAAAGTCAGCATGGGACGAGCTTCTTCTTCATATTAGGCCGCGTTCATAGCTTGCGACTATGAAGAAATGCAGAAATGAAGAAATGCGGAATCTGCAGAAATGACGAAAAGCATTAGATACGTATCGATTTTCCGCAATTCGGCATTTCTGCATTTCTTCAGATTCCGCATTTCTGCATTTCTTCAAATCGATACGTATCTTTTCGTCATTTCTGCACTTTCCGCACTTCTGCAGTTTCCGCATTTCTGCATTTCTTCACGGTCGCAAGCTATGAACGCGGCCTTACAGGAGGGAGATGTAAAAATAGGTAAATGGTACTAGTAGAGTATTACCTTTGGTATGGTGCTCATAATATCGATCATTTCAAAATTGAAAAGTCTGACAAAATTTCCCCGTCAATCCAATATATATGACAAGTACAG